TTCTTTATTTATTTATTTATTTATTTATTTATTTATTTATTTATTTATTTATTTATTTATTTATTTGATTTTTACCCTGCCGCTCTAGACCATGTCTATTCGGGGTGGCTATGATGACAAGAACATCTTTCATTGGTGTCAGTTCTAGAAGGTGTTGTAAGTCTTCATAGAATTTGTAAATTCCAGCCTCTTCAGCATCAGTGGTTGGTGCATAAACTTGGATTACTGTTATGTTGAAAGGTGTGCCTTGGATTCATATTGAAATCGTTCTATCATTTTTGAGATTGTATCCCGGTACAGCTTTTCCCACTCTTTTCTTGACCATGAGGGATACTCTATTTCTTCTACGGGATTCTTGCCCACAATAGTAGATATGATAATCGTCTGAATTGAGGTTGCTCATTCCCGTCCATTTCAGTTCACTCACGCCCGGGATATCAGTGTTTATTCTTGCCATCTCCTGCTTGACCACATCCAGCTTACCACATCCAGGTTACCAACTACTTCATTAGTAAAAAATATTGAAGAGCATCGGGCCGAGGACTGAGCCTTGGGGTACCCCATTTGTTGCCTCCTCCCAGTTAGAGAAGGACCCATTAATCCTCACCCTCTGAATACCATTCTGTAGCCAACTGTCTATCCACCTGACACTTGATCTATCCAGCCCACACCTTGTTAGCTTGCTAATCAGGATCTCATGGGACACTTTGTGAAAAGCTTTGCTGAAGTCAAGATATACTACAGTGGTGCCTCGCTTAACAGCAATAATCCGTTCCATGAAAATCGCTGTTAAGCGAAAACATCGTAAAGCAAAAATAAAAAGCCCATTGAAATGCATTAAAACCCAGTTAATGTGTTCCAATGGGCTAAAAACTCACCATCCAGTGAAGATCCTCCGTATGGCGGCCATTTTCAGTGCCTGTATAGCGAGGAATCCGTCCCTAAACACAGCGGGGAGCCATTTTAATTACCTGGTGGCCATTTTGAAGCCACCAATCAGCTGTTAAAAAACATTGTTTTGCGAAGAATCGGTTCCCGAAGCAGAGAACCGATCATCGCAAAGCAAAAAAGCCCTATTTAGACCATCAAATTGCAATCGCAAAAGCAATTGCAAAAACGTCGTTGTGAAGCAGATTCGTCGTAATGCGGGGTAATTGTAAAGCGGGGCACCACCGTACATCTACAGCATTCCCTCTGTCAGGGAGGTGACCTGCTCAAAAAAGGAGATCAAATTAGTTTGGCAGAATTTCTTCTTAACAAATCTGTGTTGCTTCTAGTTATTACTGTATTGTTTTCCCGCAAAAGCAATTGCAAAAACGTCGTTGTGAAGCAGATTCGTCGTAATGCGGGGTAATTGTAAAGCGGGGCACCACCGTACATCTACAGCATTCCCTCTGTCAGGGAGGTGACCTGCTCAAAAAAGGAGATCAAATTAGTTTGGCAGAATTTCTTCTTAACAAATCTGTGTTGCTTCTAGTTATTACTGTATTGTTTTCCAGGTGCTTGTACAATGACCATTTTATGATCTGTTCCAGAATTTTGCCTGGGATTCATGTCAGGCTTACTGGTGTATAGTTCTCAGCTTCCTCTTTTTTGCCCTTTTTGAAGATAGGGACAACATTGTCCCTCCTCCAATTCTCTGGCACCTCACCCGTTTCCCATGATTTCAAGAAAATAATGGATAGCTGTTCTGAGAGTTCTTCAGCCAGTTCATTCAGTATTCTTGGATTCAGTTCATTCGGCCCTGGAGATTTGAACTCATTCAAAGTGGTCAGGTATTCCTCTATCTGCAGCGGCAACCCTTTCCCCCCTTGGACTTCCAATTGGAAGTTCATAGTCTGTCTTATGGGAAAAGACTGAACTAAAATAGAATTGAGCTGTTCTGCCGTTTTCTTGTCCTCTGTTATCATTTTTCCTGCTTGATTGCAGAGCTGTGTCACTATGTCTTTTGTTTGTCTTTTGCTACTCATGTACCTGAAGAATGCTTTTTTATTGCTTTTATTGCCTCTAGCTAACCTCAGCTAATTCTCAGTTGTTGTCATCCCTCCATTTCCTTGCTACTTGTCTGTACTCCTTCTTGGTGGCCTGGCCTTCTTTCCACTTCCTGTACAGTGGTGCCTCGTAAGACGAACACCTTACGGGATGAAAAAATCGCAAGACGGTCTTGTGAGTTTTTTGTGCCTCGCGAGAGGGGTCGTGTTGGAATATTTTTCATCTTCCGAAGCAAGTTTTCCCATAGGAATTCAGAAAAAAGTCACTTACCTGGTAGTAAGACCGAGTAGACTGAGCCCCGCTCCTCCTTGGTAGCTCCAGAACAGCCAGACTCTAGCGCCGAACAGCTGACTGTTGGGAACCAGCAGAGAGGCAGCAGCCATTTTGGAGAGGCAGGAGCCATTTTGAGATGCGACCACATGGCTGCTACCTCTCAAAATGGCTGCCGCCTCTCCAAAATGGCTGCCACCCCTCTGCTGATTCCTGACGGTCAGCTGCTCGGCGCTCTGCTCACACAACAGTGTGAGCTGTGTGAGGCTGTTCCGGGGCTACCAAGGAGGAATACGGCTCAGTCTATTCAGTCTTACTACCTGGTAAGTGACTTTTTTCTGACTCCCCCCCCCATGGGAACATATTAATTAAATTTCAATGCATTCCTATGGGAAAACTTGCTTCGCAAAATGAAATTTTCGCAAGATGGCATTAACCATGAAACGGATTAATTTCATCTTCCGAGGCACCACTGTACATGTCTTTTTTGGTTTTTAGGCCCTCCCTGTGTTTTTTGTGAAGCCCCACTGGCCTTTTTTGCAGCTTGCCCCTTTTTTTCTTCTTGTAATTGTTTGTAGTTCTCCCTTTAGAATTTCTTCTTTTAGAAGCTCCCACCCTTCTTGGACTCATTTTCTTGTTAAGATCTCATGCCATGGGACCTTACTTATCCTTGTTCTGAAATTATTAATATTGTTTTGGGTGTTTTTTGTTTGTTTGTTTGTTTTTGGAAATCCAGCGGACGTGTGTGGCTATACTCTGCTCTCATTTCCTTTGAAATGAAGAATTCAAGAAGGACATGGTCACTCTCACATAGAGTTCCCCTTACTGCCCCTTCCCCCAAAGTCATCTCTGTTGGTCAGAATCAAGTCAAGAGAGCAACTCCTCTAGTTTCTTTCTCCACTTTTTGTAGGAGAAAATCATCAGCCACACAAGCCACGAATTTCTTGGAAGGGCGATACTTGGCAGAATTTGCTTCCCAACATATATCTAGATAATTGAAATCTCCCGTCTCTACTACATTGCGTCTCTTTGAAAACCCTGCAATTTGTTTTTCAACAGTTTTGTCCGCTTCCTCTCTTTGATTGGGCAATTGACGTGGAGAGGGGGATTTGCTGGTTGGGTAACAGCCTATCCTCCATACTATTTTACCCAGGCTTCGTGCCCTGGAAAGGACACTCCAACTTCGCATACATCATCAAAACACTAGACGCTGTTCTAAGTCCTCCATATAGAGCATGTTACCATAGTCTCTCAAGACTGAAGGATGCCTATGATGGTAGTAGACTCCAGCTACCAGATCCTTTTGTTTTCTGCTCCAACTGGATTGATCCAGATGCTCTCAGTGGGATAGCCACTCTCCTTCTCCTGTATTTCTGTGCAGGAATGTGTATTTTTGATATATATAGTGCAACTCCACCTCCTTTTTTATTCTCTCTGTTCTTTTTCATCAGTTTATATCCCTCAATTGCTGTATTCCAGTCATGGAATCATCCTACCAAGTTTCAACCGCCGATCAGCTGTTAAAAAATGGGCGCTTTGCGGTGATCACTTCCACGCGATCATCGCAAAGCGATTTTTCCCCATAGGAAACATCGCAAAGCGATCGCTTTTGCAATTGCAAAAACAGCGCCGGTATGTGGTTTTGTCGCTCAATGGAGCGATCGGTAAGCGAGGCACCACTGTATACACATACACACACACACTTTAAATAGTGTGGGAAATGTAAAACACAGGAGACTTTTCTTTGGTGGATGTATAGAGAATTATTTCATAATTAGATTCGAAAAATAGCCTGGAAAGCGTAGACTAAAAAATAATCTGAAGATCCAATTAGGGAAAAGATAGATTAGTAAATATAGTAATACTAGAAAATTTGTTGGTGTGGCGTTTGCCCTTGTGGCCCCTGCTTGTCTTTCCCTCACAAAGGCTCACATTGCGTTTTCCCCTCACTGCCACCAGTGGATTACATCAATCCACAATATAAATGATGTTTGTCAGAACACTTGTCTTGTGAACAGAAACAGAACTTATTTATTGACGTGAAGCAGATTGAATTACAGAAGTTCTTCAGATACACATTATACATAAGCAATTCATCAACAGTTCTCTCAGTATATACCTCTTTTCTCTTGCTATTTCATTACCACATTCTCTGCCTATTTTCCTAACCAGCTCTCTATCTCTCAGTATCTGTTCCTTCTCTCTCTGACTAACCAGCCCTATCAGACTCCTCCTTCTCCCGCCAAACCTCATGTAGCTGCTGACTCCGCCTCTCCAGTCCTCTCATACGTTCATGCAAATCAGCTCATGAATATGAATGGCATGAGTGACGTGAGTGATTGGCACGGTTGTTTTTTTAATCTTTTTCCTAGTCTAATTGTATAAGTTGATGTAAATGTATTATCTCACACTCTGGAATTTTACCCTTTCCCTGTCAGTACCTACCCCCAACCCTAATTCCCCTTACTCTCCAAATCCTCCCCTCATTGAAAAGAATAAAAATTATATATGATAAGAAGTCAGGCTAGTTGTTACCTAATCATGTGGCTATTGAAGCTGAAAACACCTGTTTGTCTCATCTTTATAAGTAACACTCGAAAATGATCAGCTGTGTTACAATGTATGATGTTCAGTTAGACTTTTACATTAAACCAGGAGATGAATATGGGAATCTTTTGCATATTTTTACATCATCAGATTTTGATGATTATTTATTTCAAATAACTGAAGATCTGTAAGATCAAGTGTAGTTTAGTCCATCTGTTCTCAAGTTTTGCCATGCTTGTTTTGTTTGTCACAGGGAGACCGTTTTGGTGACAGCAGCAGCAGGTGCCACAGGACTTGCTGTTATAGATGTTGCGTCCCACATTCTTAAGGCAAAGGTATGCCCTTCTCCCCATGTGGCATGTGTGAACTGCACATGGTCTTCAGTATCAGAAAGGGATTAGGTAGGGAGGAAAGTCTTTGAAATCTCTACTTTCAAGGAACATTTTTAGCTTTCATGCTTAAGAAAAATGGCCCCAATAGCAATAGTATGTGAAAGAATCACTAAAAGAAGGAAGAACTTAACAGTTTACCTGTCACTCTGAAATTCTTATTGGGTTTTCCTCTGAAAGCAACTGGAATCCATGGGGTCTCCTATTGGAGCAGGAAGGCAGTCAGTTTTAAAAGATTCCCTCTGCGGTCTCCTGCATCACCACTGACAGTCTTATATAGTTTGTCAATCTTCCAAAACAAATTTTCCAAAAGGCTTCAGCAGGGAAATTGGGTTTCCGTTCCCTTCTTTATTCTGTTTGAAAGATTGTATAATACTCTGTGTGTGTTCTATGGTTGCAGGTGATAGCAGGAGCAGGTAGTGAAAAAAAATGCAGCCTGGCTTTCCAGAAGGGGGCTATCCAGAGTGTGAATTACAGTGAGACTAGTCTGAGAGAAGAAGTGAAGAAACTGACAGATGCCCAGGGTGTCAATGTGGTCATTGACACCATTGGTGGGGACATCTTCAAGGAGGCATTGCACAGGTGAGCTAGGGCTTGGATTTACTTCCCCTGAGTGGGTTTTCCACATGGCATCATCTAAGCCTCCAGCTTCATTTGTGAGCTCTCAATAAGTTCCAAAGATACTACAAAACTGGCTAGTTGGTGTTGAAGATGCAAGCTGGCATTCAACACAAGATTGTTAGAGAAGTTATCTGTATTGGTACTGTATTTAATGCTCAGATCTTGAGACTCCAGTACATAGATGTGAAGTGGTACAAACATTTACAAATATTATTGTGATAGATACAGTATGTGAGGAGATGAATCCAAAACACAGACCCAGCAGAACACATATTCATAGTAATTAAATTGATAATAAATTCATCTGCAATTTGGTGACATAAGGATGTCATTACAGTGGGGTCTTGACTTGAGAACTTAATCCGTATTGGAAGGCGGTTCTCAAGTCAAAAAGTCTGTAAGTCAAGTCTCCATTGACCTACAGTGCATTGAAAACCGATTAATCCCGTAACAGGCCGTTTTTGTTCCATTTTGGTTTTTTTCTGGTCTGTAAGTCAAATCTCAGTCTGCAAGTCAAACCTAAATTTTGCGGCCAGAGAAGTCTGTAACTCAAAAAGTCTGTAAGTCAAGCCGTCTGTAAGTCAAGGGTCCACTGTATCCCTATTTTACACTGAGCTAACTTACCTGAGACTCCTAAAAATAGGTACAGTAGTCTGTTTAACCCATAAGGACAGAATTTACTGATCCATAAGGATCAGTAAAACACTGTGCTCATTAGGTCCATAGTAATGTATGGAAAATTTGAGTTTTCATAGAACTTTTCTTTGAAGTGCATATCTGAAAAGAAATAATAGAGGAACAGATCTGTCTGGGTGAACATGGTGTTAAGCCCTGCTTTCTGTTCATTTCCTTTGAAAAAAAAAACTCTTTAGATTTTATTGAATGTCTGCTGTGTCTTATGGAAAGATACCGTGCTACTCTAAGTCTGTTAATATCTCTAAAGTGCTAACATATTCATTGTGGTATTCACTTTTGTGAATTGATCGCCAAAGCTGATAGTTGTACAAGTTTTTTTCATACTCACGTTGGTACAAGTAAGTTCTACCTAGTGTGGTGTATTGTAGGTAGAGTGATGGACTAGGAATCGGTACATCTGGTTCAAATCCCTGCTTGGCCATGGAAATTCACTGAGGGAGTGGAAAAACCTCTCCTTAAATATCTCACTTACTTTGGAACACCTGGGACACCTACAAAGTTTACCCTTGGATGGAAATGGTGCCACAAAGGCTGCAATCTGATGGTCGTTGTGGGTTTTTTGGGCTGTTTGGCCATGTTCAGGAGGTTTTGCCAGTCTCCGTGGCCAGCATCTTCAGAGGACAGGAGCTAGAATTCTGTCTGTGTTCTGGTGTAGTGTGAGCCACAGAGACTTGTGAAACATTAGGAAGAAAAACCTCCAGAACATGGCCAAACAGCCCAAAAAACCCACAACAACGATCTATTGTTCACTTTTGTGGCACCATTTCCATCCAAGGGTAAACTTTGTAGGTGTCCCAGATGGTGTCAAATTATTAGGCTTCTTGGTTTATACACATTCTGATCATTCTGCTGGCCTCTCATTCTCTTTACCATCAACTTTTCAGCCTGGCTTGGGAAGGCAGAATTGTAGTGGTTGGGTTTGCTGGAGGAACCATCCCATCCATTCCAGCCAATCTGCTCCTCCTGAAAAACATCTCTGCCCTGGGCCTGTATTGGGGCAGGTATCGGGACCAGGATTTCCCAGTCTTTTGCATTCTTCTGCACTTTCTTCTGCTCTTTCATACTGCCA